CGTGCAGCACATTATTCCTCCTGGTAGTTTGTTAAATTAATGGGTAGAATATTTAGAGAATAGCTTTGTTGTTCTGTCACCCAATAAAAGATAATGGTCGTGCAGGGCAAAGTAAAAAGGTCACTTTAAAGCAGCCCCCATAGATCATGCGATTTTGTTTCCACCGCAAGTGGAAGGAAAGAAAATTGCTCATTTCCCCCATCAACACTGACTCCCCCATCATCCTACAACGCAATTGTGTTCTGCCAGCGGGAAGCCTTCCCTGCCAGAAGAACACAATGGGGAGGATATACTAAAGGCAAATAGACTGTGCATTTTGCAAGTACAGTTGCACTAATTTTCCTTTATAAAGTAAATATTTACCACATTATATTTACAAAGAAAACCCAGTCAGGTGCAAGGACAATGAAAAAAAACATTCTTGCCTCCGCATGAGGTTTACCACATTTACTAAGCTCTGGGGAACTGCATTTGCAAAGTGGACAGTCTATTTGCCTCTAGTAAATCAACCCTATAGCTACAGTATAGTTGCCGACAGTGATCACATGAAAAAAATCCAACAGGCTAGTTGTACTGAAATCGATCGATGGATTGACTTCAGTACAACCAGCCTGCCCATATATGGATCAAATCTTGGCCGGTCCCTGCTGAACCAGCCCGAAATTAGATCCATCTATGGCTGACTTTTGTAGGGCTGCCACCTCATCCCTTTAAAACCAAACACATATTAATGACACAGGTTCTGTGGCTTATTAAGGTGGTAATTAAATTCACTTAGTGCCTTATCTGCAATAAATTAGCCTAAGAACCTGTGTCATTAATATATATTTAGTTTTAAAGGGGTGAGGTGGCAACCCTAGACTTTAGGCATGGTCAGCCAGAAGTCTCCATTAGCTACTGGGAGCAAAGAAAATCTGTTACAGCAGGGCATTGAAGAGCATGTGACAGTTTTGGTGCTTGGTGATTGGTCCAGCACTGTCACATGGGATAGTCCTATGTTTTCTTCAGGTGACTGAGCCAAGCGGGATACAAAAGGTGAGTATAAGCTGCTGAGGAGGTAGCATGGACACTCTGCAGGTTCACTTCAAAAGGTTTTAAACATCTCTTGTATTGTGCTGCTAGGTGTTGAAGTCAAGTCTTTTTTTTTTTTTTTGCAGATGGCAGATATTGAAAGAAATGGTGTTTTTTTTAACTATTGTACAGTATAGTATTGTCTATCATTAGATACAGTCAGGTCCATAAATATTGGGGATATATACACAATTCTAAAATTTTTGGCTCTATACACCACCACAATGGATTTGAAATGAAATGAACAAGATGTGCTTTAACTGCAGACTGTCAGCTTTAATTTGAGGGTATTTACATCCAAATCATGTGAACGGTGTAGGAATTACAACAGTTTGCATATGTGCCTCCCACTTGTTACGGGACCAAAAGTAATGGGACAGAATAATAATCATAAATCAAACTTTCACTTTTTAATACTTGGTTGCAAATCTTTTGCAGTCAATTACAGCCTGAAGTCTGGAACGCATAGACATCACCAGACGCTGGGTTTCATCTCTGGTGATGCTCTGCCAGGCCTCTACTGCAACTGTCTTCAGTTCCTGCTTGTTCTTGGGGCATTTTCCCTTCAGTTTTGTCTTCAGCAAGTGAAATGCATGCTCAATCGGATTCAGGTCAGGTGATTGACTTGGCCATTGCATAACATTCCACTTATTTCCCTTAAAAAGCTCTTTGGTTGCTTTTGCAGTATGCTTTGGGTCATTATCCATCTGCACTGTGAAGCGGCATCCAATGAGTTCTGAAACATTTGGCTGAATATGAGCAGATAATATTGCCCAAAACACTTCAGAATTCATGCTGCTGCTTCTGTCAGTGTCAGCAGTCACATCATCAATAAATACAAGAGAACCAGTTCCATTGGCAGCCATACATGCCCACGCCATGACACTACCACCACCATGCTTCACTGATGAGGTGGTATGCTTAGGATCATGAGCAGTTCCTTTCCTTCTCCATACTCTTCTCTTCCCATCACTCTGGTACAAGTTGATCTTGGTCTCATCTGTCCATAGGATGTTGTTCCAGAACTGTGAAGGCTTTTTTAGATGTCGTTTGGCAAACTCTAATCTGGCCTTCCTGTTTTTGAGGCTCACCAATGGTTTACATCTTGTGATGAACCCTCTGTATTCACTCTGGTGAAGTCTTCTCTTGATTATTGACTTTGACACACATACACCTACCTCCTGGAGAGTGTTCTTGATCTGGCCAACTGTTGTGAAGGGTGTTTTCTTCACCAGGGAAAGAATTCTTCGGTCATCCACCACAGTTGTTTTCCGTGGTCTTCCGGGTCTTTTGGTGTTGCTGAGCTCACCGTTGCGTTCCTTCTTTTTAAGAATGTTCCAAACAGTTGTTTTGGCCACACCTACTGTTTTTGCTCTCTCTGATGGGTTTGTTTTGTTTTTTCAGCCTAATGCTGGCTTGCTTCACTGATAGTGACAGCTCTTTGGATCTCATCTTGAGAGTTGACAGCAACAGATTCCAAATGCAAATAGCATACTTGAATTAAACTCTGGACCTTTTGTCTGCTCATTGTAATTGGGATAATGAGGGAATAACACACACCTGGCCATGGAACAGCTGAGAAGCCAATTGTCCCATTACTTTTGGTCCCTTAACAAGTGGGAGGCACATATGCAAACTGTTGTAATTCCTACACCGTTCACCTGATTTTGATGTAAATTCCCTCAAATTAAAGCTGGCAGTCTGCAGTTAAAGCACCACTTGTTCGTTTAATTTCAAATCCATTGTGGTGGTGTATAGAGCCAAAAATGTTAGAATTGTGTCGATGTCCCAATATTTATGGACCTGACTGTAAAAATATAGGACTTATCATTAATGATTTCTGAAAATTGTAGTTGACTGGTTTCATACTGTTCTAATGGTGTCAATATTTTCACCCAGAATTATCCAGAACAACTATATTTTCAAGGACTTTACATGCTGCATGATTGTTCAGGGTCAGCGATGTATTCAAGGTTCAGCATGACTGCCAAGCAATCAGAAGGAGCTCTAATGTGGCCCTCCCTCCCTTCCTTCCTTCCTTCCTTCCTTCCTTCCTTCTTCCTTCCTTCCTTCCTTCCTTCCTTCCTTTTTTTCCTTCCTTCCTTCCTTCCTTCCTTCCTTCCTTCCTTTTCCTTCCTTCCTCCCCTTCCTTCCTCCCCTTCCTTCCCTTCTTCCTTCCTTCCCTTCCTTCCTTCCCTTCCTTCCTTCCTTCCTTCCTTCCTTCCTTCCTTCCTTTTCCTTCCCTTCCTTCCTTCCTTCCTTCCTTCCCTTCCCTTCCTTTTCTTCCCTTCCCTTCCTTCCCTTCCCTCCTTCCTTTCCCTTCCCTTCCCTCCTTCCTTTCCTTCCCTTCCCTCCTTCCTTCCCTTCCCTTCCTCCTTCCCTTCCCTTCCCTCCTTCCTTCCCTTCCCTTCCCTCCTTCCCTTCCCCCTTCAATACATCTACTGTATGAGCCAGTGTTTTTGGCTTCCAGATTCTTCACAGAGTCTACATCTGTTACATTTTAAAGTAATCCTGTTATGAGTGAAATATGGGATCCACCTTTGCTGATATCCTTTGGAAAATGCTAATTGCTTTGGTGTTGAACCAGAACAAGCATGTAGATAAGAACAAAACTTTAGAAATCCTAATCTGTATATATTTTAAAGGTCAATAACTAAGGGCTTCTGTACACTTGTACTTGGTGGTTGGTAAAAAAACACATGGTTTTAGCCATCATTTTAGTGCCCCCAAACACTCCCCCTTAAGCTGCAGAGGCAGCAAATTGGGGTACACATTTTCCCCCTTGTCACGTTCAACGGGAATGGGGCTGTGTTACAAGTGCCCCTCAAGCACGTGCAAGGTGTGTAGGTTTTTAGGGGTTAAAACCCCACAGATCACTCTTTAGAGGGATAATGCTAGTGTTACCTAGCCCTTAAAGTACTAAAGCAAGATAGTCATCTTGATATATCAGGCAAATAACATTTTCAGATGGAATGGTCAGTAATGGTAGTCTTTATTTTCTGTTATGACATGTTTCGGTAAAAGCAAATTATCTCCCTTTCGATGCAAACTCTTTTAAATTAAAAATAGTGCAACTGTGCATACTTGGATATCTGCATTACCTTTTGCATACATATTTTATTCATATTCCATTGTGCTGAGTTTTTTCCTTGACCTCTCTATATTAGAAGGAGGGATGAAGGCAATCTTACCATCTGAGGGAAGCAATTTAATCATTCTCTCATGGCAAGTCCTCTGTAGGAACAATTTTAATTTTTTTTTTTACCAGGAATCAGGCATGTAATAGGGCAGTTCTCTCCCCTACAATCTTCCCTCTCTCCCGTACTGTCATCAGTCACTTGTTATTTATTTTACAAATTGGAGATGTCTAATTAATAAGAAGGTAGAACTCAGGGCAAAACTTGGAAGGAGTCACATTGTTCTGTGCAGTAATGCAAATTTGGAAACATAATGGCCTACTAAGAGGGGGGTGTGGAAAGCCTATGACCTCTGTACTGTGCAGCTAGTGGAGATAAAGCCAAGCCATAGAGAATCTTATTCCCACACAGCATATGGGAAACCTATTGAGAAACCAGAAGATGCAAGTGTGCATACCTGTATTATTTTTAACTTCTAATTTTAAAAGCCTTTGCTGTATGTACAAAAAAAGTACATATAGGTACATATTTAAAAGTAAATGCATGCTTAATATGAACAATAACGGTAAGCAAAGCTTTAAAATATTATAAAATGGCCAGCAGTGGCTGGTCCTAATGGAAGACCATTGTAGTTCCCAAAATCAAATATGGCAAATAAAATGCTTTCTCTTGTTAAGTTACATTGGAAAACAACATTTGTGTCTTCATTGTACTCAGTCTTTTTTGCTGAATTAGCTTTTGTTGATATAAAACATAAGGCCATTAAAAGTCTTCATACATTCCCTTCTGTAGGTGTCATCACAACACCCGTACATGGAAATGACTATTGGACGGCCGCATGTCATAACAGTGGACTTCAACAACACACAAGAGTTTGAGGCAGCCATCAAGTCTATCATGAGAAGCAAGGTAAATTGATGGCAATGTGCAGCTTTTGAGAGGAAACCGTGAGATCAGATTTGAAAGAAAAATTGGTAAACTTTTTCTGATTATTGATTTATGCACTTTAACCCCCAAAAGTTAATTGAACAGCCAACAAGAACATTTTGGAGTTCATGAAGACTTCTTTTAACATTAATGGGTCAGAATGTGGGTTAAATGTAATGGGCTGGCCAGTCCTGGATAGGCTAGTAGCAGGGGCGGACTGACAACTCATGGGGCCCTCGGGCAATAGGGGATCATGGGGCCCCTGTGTCCTTGCCCAAACTCAAAAAAGCCTATGAAAAAGGTACCAGGGGCATCTCATGGGGCCCCCTAATGACCCCGGGCCCTCGGGCAGTGCCCGAGTTTCCAAGTGGTCAGTCCGCCCCTGGCTAGTAGTTGTTTGAAATGTATGCTCCTTGTGGATTATTTTCTTTACATTGGAATGATTGATTTCAATTTGTGGGCAGCACAGTGGCTAAGTGGTTAGCACTTCCATCTAGAAGCACTAGGGTCATTGGTTCAAATCCCAACAATGACACTACCTGCCTGGAGTTTGCAAGTTCTCCCTGTGCCAGTGTGGGTTTCCTCTAGGTACTCTGGTTTCCTCCCACACTCCAAAGACAGGCTGTCCAAATTGGTCGTAGTATTTGTATGTATGAATGTGAGTTAGGGACCTAAGATTTTGAGCTCCTTGAGGGTAATGGACTGATGTGAATGTACAATATATATGTGTAAAGTGCTGCGTAAATTGACGATGCTGTATAAGTACCTGTAATAAATGCATTTGAAAGATAACATCAGACACGGTTGGGCAGAAGGGGTGGCTGCCCTGGTCATTGTGGTATCATGAGGGTGGGGATTGCTGAAAGGGGATTTGTGTTGGGAGTGGAAATGCAGGGGGTAAGAGTTGGTCTATAATGGGAAATTTTGGGAGGTGTGCTAGGAGTAGTGATTTGGGGGGATTTGTGTTGGAAGGGGGGAAGAACATTTGTGCTAGGAAGGGATTTTGGGGGGAGGGATATGCTAGAAAAGGTGACATGGTAGAGAGCAGAAGAGACTTGTACTATGAGGGGAATTTTTTTTTTTGAAGGAGGGGGATTTGTGCTAGTGGGGATGATTGGGCTGCATTAGTGCAAGGAGAGGAAATATTTTGGGCGGGCTATTAAGCTTGGATGGGGGATTGGGAGAGGATAATTTGTGCAGGGAGGGGGAACTTGGAGTAGTAGAGTAGTAGTAGAGAATTTGTGCTCGATGCAGATTAGTGCTCAATTTTTTTTTTTTTTTTGGGGGGGGGGGATTTGCTGACTCATAATGCTTATAAATCTTGGGGGGGGGGGGGTAATTTGGCATGTTTGCCCTGGGCTCAAGATAACCTTGTCACCTTGTCCCAACACTGATACCAGACCCTGGATATGTGAGGATTAGGTTCCTTTCACAAAAGAATGCAGTGTGGGAAAGCCATATTCTGTGTGTTTCCCTCACTACGGTCAATCTGTTGTGGGTGTCAGTGTATTTCTGTTAGATGGCAAATGCAGTGCATTTTTGTTCATTTAGATTGCACCATTTATTCAAGACAATCACATTTATCTGTAGGCACTGTTTAAACAAAGATCTAATGTTTGCTTGTTCAGATGTGTTAGAAAAGTCAACAATCTCCATGAGTTGTACTTACTTTTCACATGACTATGATTAAGTGGTAGATATTTTATCTAGTGCATTTTAATAAAGTGACCTCTTAGAGATGCAGACACAGAATGAACAAGCAATGTATAGCTTGATTCCGCAGACATACCTTGTTAGGTGCACAATATGGACTGACCTACAGTGCCTTGAAAAAGTATTTATACCCCTTGAAATTTTCCACATTTTGTCTTGTTACAACCAAAAATGTAAATTTATTTTATTGGGATTTTATGTGATAGACCAACACAAAGTGGCACATAATTGGAAAATGAAGGAAAATGATAAATGGTTTTTACAATTTTTTACAAAATAAATATCTGAAAAGTGTGGCGTGCATTCAAAGTCAATACTTTGTAGGACCCCCTTTCGCTGCAGTTACAGCTTCAAGTCTTTTTTTTTTTTGTCTCTACCAGCTTTGCACATCTAGAGAGTGAAATTTTCTTCTTTGCAAAATAGCTCACGCTCTGTCAGATTGGATGGAGAGTGTCTGTGAACAGCAATTTTCAAGTCTTGCCACAGATTCTCAATTTGATTTTGGTCTGAACTTTGACTGGGCCATTTTAACACATGAATGTGTTTTGATCTAAACCATTCCATTGTAGCTCTGTCTGTATTTTTAGGGTGGTTGTCCTGCTGGAAGGTGAACTTCCACCCCAGTCTCAAGTCTTTTGCATACTCTAGCAGGTTTTCTTCTAAGAGTTCCCTGTATTTGGCTCCATCCATCTTTCCATCAGCTCTAACAGCTTGCCTGTCCTTGAAAAGCATCCCCACAACACGATGCTGCCACCACCATGTTTCACAGTAAGGATGGTGTGTTCAGAGTGATGTTCAGTGTTAGTTTTCCGCCGCACATAGCGTTTTGCTTTTAGGCCAAAAGCTAGCTTAGGCAAGCTGCAAGACTTCTTATGGATTTCTTTCAACAATGGCTTTCGTCTTGCCACTCTTCCATAAAGGCCAGATTTGTGGAGTGCACGACTAATAGTTGTCCTGTGGACAGATTCTCCTACCTGAGCTGTGGATCTCTGCAGCTCCTCCAGAGTTACCATGGGCCTCTTGGCCGTTTCTCTGATCATTGCTCTCCTTGCCCAGCCTGTCACTTTAGGTGGACGGCCATGTCTTGGTAGGTTTGCAGTTGTGCCATGCTCTTTCCATTTTCGGATGATGGATTGAACAGATTCAAATCAAAGATGTTCAAAGCTTGTAATATTTTTTTTATAACCTAACCCTGCTTTAAACTTATCCACAACTTTACAGAACAGCTGTATTTATACCGAGATTAAATAACACACTGGTGCTGATTAGGTGACTTCTGAAGGCAATTGGTTCCACTAGATTTTAGTTAGGGGTATCAGAGTACAGGGGGCTGAATACAAATGCATGCCACATTTTTTCAGATATTTATTTGTAAAAAAGTTTGAAAAACATGTATCATTTTCCTTCCACTTCACATTTATGTGCCACTTTGTGTTGGACTATCACATAAAAATCCAATAAAATACATTTACGTTTTTGGTTGTAACATGACAAAATGTGGAATATTTCAAGGGGTATGAATACTTTTTCAAGGCACTGTATGTGAGTCTAATCTCTCTGTATACACTGAAATATATACCTGTAGCCTACCTGTTCCACCATACTCCTAGCTGGAGATGGACCCTTCTGGATTATGAGGAGCTATGTAAATGTCAGGGCTCCCAGGTATGACCAGAGGTGTGTGACTGATGCAGGGAAACGCAGACTTCAGATATGTGATAAACAATACAATTTATTAACACTAACCATACAAACATAAACGCAGTGCAATACTAAACATAATACAGTGCAAACAAACCAAACCAAACCACCCACAGATAACAGTACATACAAGCAAGCGTCGTCAGGCAGGCCGGGTCAATATCAATTGGGCAGGTAGGTACAGGGGGAGCAAGCAGAGAATGGTCGGGGTCACAGGCCAGGTTCAGCAGGTAGCAAGCAGCGTAGTACAGAGGGTCAGGCAGAGGGATGGTCAGGGTCACAAGCCAGAGATCAAAACAGGTAACAAGCAGCGTAGTACAGAGGGTCAGGCAGAGGGACAGAAACAGGATGCAGGACAGATACAGGGCCCAGGACAAACACAACACCAAGGCAGAGTCTGTGGGTCTGGCCATCCCTTAAATACCCCAGCATCATCAGTTCCAGGTGTTAGCTGGCTGAAAGGTTGAGTCTCTGATTGCTGGGAGCACCCGCTGGCCAGCCCTGGTACTGCAGATCAAAAGGCAGGTGAGTCCCACCATTGCTGGCCAGTCCATTCCTAACAGTAAATTTTGTTGTGATTTCCCAAAATGTTATGATCAAATGTTACATTGCAGCACTTTGAAATGGCTGATCAGCCCACATTGCTGCATTATAGGATGAGATTGAGAGTGTCAAAGGTTCCCACATACACAGAATTCTAGGGATTTCACAGGAACTCTGCTAGGTGAATGGGTTTGGGGGGGTGTGGTGAAGGAAGGTAAGGGTGGGCTATTCTTCAGTTCGGTTACATTATCCTAAATGAGAAATTGGCAGTCACCACCTGATATGTGTCTGAAGTGTATGAAATTGATATCCGATAGTAATACAGTTGATAAACTTTATAGTTTAATAAAGTATTCATAACTACATTTCAGACTTCCATAATCTCTCCTGGCTAATCCCACAGCCTATGTTAAGCCCCAAATAATAATTTTATTAACACAACTCAAACCATTAAATCTTATCTAGGATTAACAGTTAATTTTGAGCCGTTCAGCATTTATAAGTAGCAGTGTTTCAAGGAATTAAAGCATAACTCCAAAAAATGGCCAGATGGACAACTGAAATACATGTATGTGGGTAGGTTTTACCTTAAGGATATCTAATATTGTTCACCTAGTCATGCGATTTGCCCACCATTGCCATACTCCATGACTACGGGGTAGTTTCTGTTGCAGCGTTTCAGTTTGCTGTTCTTGCCTATGAAATGGACTGTACATTGGAAAATGCTGAAAGTGGGAAATAGTGGTGTCAACTGTACACCGTTATGTGGTAGGGGTATCTGAATCATAGGGCCAGTTAAACAGGATTACAAGGATTTTGGCAACAAAAACAGTTCAACTTTTGCACAGTCAATACAGCAAATACATACCCTAGCACAGTGGTCTCCAAACTGTGGCCTGGGAGCCATATACGGCCCTTTGCTTGCCGTTATGCAGCCCGTGGAGCAACATTCCATCCACTGACTCCACCAACAACAGGGCATTATTCTTCCTACTAATACCAGCAATGGGGCATTATTTCTCCCA